ATGATATGTTTACCATTTATATTATACCTGTATATATATGTGGATTCTTATTGGAGTATCAAAAGCGGATACCCACAGACCAGGCAAGTAAGTTGGAGAAATGTTTTAACGATAGTCCGAGCTGTCTAGGCGCTAGCCTCGCTGACGTGATCAGATAGGTAGGTCGTAGACGAAGAAGTTGCTGTTTTACACATTTTTGACTTGTTATACCGAAAATGTTAGCGATCTTTTAGCGTGTTATTAGTATATATACAGTAAATAGGTAAGTAGATAGATAAATATTTCTTAAAACAACCAAACCAGTTTTTACAAGTTTGACACCAAACAACCAGTTTTTACAAGGAAATAAAAACATATAGAGAGCATGAAACTACTTTAGCTTGTTTATTTGTTTCAGATTTTTCACGCAAAAGTACACAAAGCTCCGTCTGCACACAATCGTCCCTCTTTTAAACTGATGGTTAGGCAGCTGGTCAACAGCACCTACTGCTAACTCTTTGGCTACTTTTGCCTGATTGCATAGTCTTACAATGCACCTATAGCCTGGAACTAAAGTGCGGAGCGCGTTTTTGCTGCAAAGAGATTCACACTTTGAGCATGTTATCCATTAGGTAAGTTTACTTTTGCAAAAAAAAAAAAAAGTATAAATGTATATCATGCAGTAAAACATTTCTTGAACTTACCAACAGGGGCCGCTAAAAATCAAAATTTGAAATGACTATCTCTTATAACTTTCTCAAGTTTTAGTTTACTTATATCGAGTAGGTTAGTACAAATCACTTAAAAGATTGAAAATTAAAAATGACTGTTGGACATCGGCATGAAACTGATGAGACCTAAAATAGGATTTTCTTTTTTATGACAAAGCTATTAAGGTTATTTGCCACCGTTTCTAATTTTGAACTGTTGACCAAAGGGAAGGCAGCCCGTCATTTGCATCCTATTACTCATCATCCATACCAAGGAATTGACTGTCACTCTTATAATTCACCCACAGCTTAGAGTGCAGGGAATATTTTGTGGCATCGCACAAAATTCGGAGCTCTACCACAGGGCCAACCTGCATCCGGCCCTAATACATACGAGACAAAGTACTTCACTATGTCTCACCTCGCAACACGTTGGCATAATGAACACATGGGAAATTCGATCAGTGCGTGAAACTTTAAAATTTTTGGTGTTGCTAAGCCTGAAACTGAACTTCAAATAACAGAAACCTTAATAGTTAAACATTTCCTTCCTTTTTACACCCAGTGGCTCAGCTGTATGCCTGCAAGCTTACAACGCTAAAAATTCGGGTTTAGATGCACAGATAGTCCATTGTGTTGCTTTGCGCTTAACAACAAACAAACGTTTCCTTTATCAACAACACTCAGTCTTTAAAGTTGCAATTTGTATTTAGTTCTGAATATTTGTTACAATAATCATGTTTGTTATCGTTTCTTTATGTTAATGTCGATAGAATTCCTGTACTTCCGAAACGATTAATAAACAAGTTTTGTGCCCTTACGTTCATATTTTGTTCATGTGATTCAACCTACAAGCATCACTGTTTTCATTCTTAACTAGAAGCGTTTGATCACTATACACGTATTATACAGCAGATTCTGAAGTAATCTTATTTGAGCGAGAAAAATTAAAGTTGTAAAAAATGAACGTCATATATTTCAGTTTGCTTCATTTTTTTTTCCTGAAAAAGAGTGGGTTGTTATGATACGTTACGTTGGCTCGAATACTGAATACGCGAGAAACATGAAATGTGTAAAAACTCAGGTATTAACTACACGCACAGTAGTTGATATTTGAGTCACTACGTCACTAAGTAATTGACAATGATTTGGTTCGAATTTCGCGCAAAGCTACACGAGGGCTGTCTGCACTAGCTGTCCCTAATTTAGCAGTGAAAGACTAGAGGGAAGGTAGTTAGTCATCTCCACCCACCGCCAACTCTTGAGCTACTCTTTTACGAACGAATAGTGGGAGCTGAGCGTCACATTATAAGGCCCCACTGCTGAAAGGGCGAGGATGTTTGGTGATACGGGGATTCGAACCCGTGACCCTCAGATTGCGAGTCAAGCGCCCTAAGCACCTGGTCATTGCCGGGGCAATTGGTAATGATGATTTAGAACATTCCAGTAAGTAGCATTTAATGAATTTCATTCTTAAACTTTAATTTTTAATATCTATTAAATAGAAACTTAAGTACAGGAATTCAGCGTTATATCTGTAATGATCTGTATTAAAAAACTAAGAAGAAGCATTTCTTGTGAGTCAAAAAGTAAGCAAATAAATCAAGTGTAACGATCAGAAACTACTTATAGGGACAACTCCAACACGTGCATGAACCGATCAGAAACTACTTATTGGGACAACTCCAACACGTGCATGTAACGATCAGAAACTACTTATAGGGACAACTAAACACGTGCATGTACCGATCAAAAACTACTTATAGGGACAACTAAAACACGTGCATGTACCGATCAGAAACTACTTATTGGGACAACTCCAACACGTGCATGTAACGATCAGAAACTACTTATAGGAACAACTCCAACACGTGCATGAACCGATCAAAAACTACTTATTGGGACAACTCCAACACGTGCATGTAACGATCAGAAACTACTTATAGGAACAACTCCAACACGTGCATGTACCGATCAGAAACTACTTATAGGGACAACTCCAACACGTGCATGTACCGATCAGAAACTACTTATAGGGACAACTCTAACACGTGCATGAATCGATCAGAAACTACTTATAGGGACAACTCCAACACGTGCATGTACCGATCAGAAACTACTTATGGGGACAACTCCAACACGCGCATGAACTGATCAGAAAAACTTATAGGGACAACTCCAACACCTGCATGTACCGATCAGAAACTACTTATAGGGACAACTCCAACACGTGCATGTACCGATCAGAAACTACTTATAGGGACAACTCCAATACGCGCATTAACTTATAAGAAACTACTTATCCCTATAATCCCAATACCAATATCGATCAGTAACAAGAACAAACATTATTTAACATTCTAGTCTTAATTTTAAAACAATAATAAAGATCTCTGAACGTTATACTCCCAGGGACTGAGGAGGGGGGAGGCAGCTTTCTCACAAAAAGATTAAGTTGATACCCATGCACTCCCCCCAATGGATTAGCGGTAACCTCGAGGTGTCATAACAGTAAACATAGAGGCTCTATTCACGCGCTTAAAAACAAACCAAGTTATTGTTAAGTTAAACATTGTTAAGTTTAATTTCGTAAACTAGTTTTGTTTGTTTGTTTTTTAATTTCGCGCAAAGCTACACGAAGGCTATCTGCGCTAGCCGTCCCTAATTTAGCAGTGTAAGACTAGAGAGAAGGCAGCTAGTCATCACTACCCACCGCCAACTCTTGGGCTACTCTTTTACTAACGAGTCACATTATAACGCCCCCACGGCTGAAAGGGCGAGAATGTTTGGTGGGACGGGGATTCGAACCCGCGACCCTCAGATTGCGAGTCGAGGGCCCTAACCACCTGGCCATGCCGGGCCTCGTAAACTAGTTAACATTCAATTTAACGCTTTCTATTCTGTTTTTTATTGTTTGTTGTACAAACGATCCAGTTTAAATTTGAAAAAATATATAAAATTAACTCCGACACATCATGGACTGTAAAGAGCTCATTAGCCTTTCTTTTTAAATAAAATGTCGCATGAATCTCCATTTTTCGTATTTATCACTTGGGGACTGTTATAAAAAGTTCCGTATCACTTCATCGCCCTGTCTTGCCACCCCTTGTTACGGGTTCGTTGGAAGGAAATTCACAAATAGCGTGAGAACAAACCTTGCTGGATAAAGTAATATTTGTCTTTAATTGTTCTTTAATATTATTCTTTAGCAGTGAGTGAAAAATAACATTTTAGTTACGATATCATAGCAACACCAAGCTTCCCTCCATGATTTACCTCTAAATGCCCTCTGGTGGCTTTAATTGATAACAACAATGAAAAGAGTGGTAGAACTTCCCTCGGTAGTTCGTCTCGCCCTCCCCACACCCCATATGACTCGATATCCGTAGTGGGCACAGCACAGATAGCCCATTGTGTAGCTTTGTGATTAACAACTACCAAACAGTCATTTCGAAAGTGGATTTTCGTTAACTTGAAAAATGTACAAATACAGAATTAATCGAAATTAAAAATCTTTTCACATTGTGAAATCAAACACATTAATTATTATTGTACATTTCTCAAAGTGATGCCGGGCGTGGCCAGGTGATTATCGTGGCAGAATGTGAATCTGATGGTGCATAGTTTGCGTCTGTCGTCACGAAAACGAGCTCATCTCTTTTGAGCCGTGGGTGCGCTATAAGAGTGGCGGTCAGATACCATAATTTGATCAGGTAAAAGAAGCTCAAGAGTTGGGCGGAGGGTGCTGTTGACTAGATGCCTTTCTTCTAGTCTATTATCAGTGCAAAATTAGGGACGGTTAACGCCGATAGCCCTTATATAACATTATCGGAACATCTGAAACAAACGTCGAAATGGCAACCTCACGTTCACCGTATTTCTTACGTGTGATTGTCCCCATCCCCACTGAAAGAAATTAAAGTACATCACCTAAGATTCTCGTCTTTAATTTTCCAGTTTTGATGTTTCATTTGAAGATAAAGAGAACAAGCAAAACGTACATTCACACAGAATCACTAGGAAACGGTTAACCTATGCATAAATTCTTCTTAAATTTGAATTTTTAAAAAAAAAGGTTTCTTCTTCGTAAGCGTAACATTAATAACGTTTATCGACAGAGTGTAGAAGATACTTATAATACAAAGGTTATGATTTGTTCTTATATTCACTTTTATTTTTAGGTTATATCCAATTTATCTGATTGTGCTTGGGGTTTAAAAGAGCTCGACAATATTCCTAAATCGTCTCTCTCTCTCTCTTGCGAGCTTAGTTATTACATGTGTTTGGACTATGTCATAATTTAGGTTAAACATGAACGTCTTTCTTTCGCTGTTGCTGTTGGTCTCGGGATCACTGGTTGTGGAAACAGCCGAGAATGGTCAAATCTTCGAGGCGAAGATAGTCAGTATTTTTATATCTAAAAATACCCTAGAGCCGTTTTATTACGAACTGATAACTCCGGCTATCGACTTGGCTGTCCAGAAAGTGAAGCTTATCTATCCCCACATTGCTTTCAACATTACGTACAGAACTGCTTATAATACGTGTGCTAACAGCGTGGCTGAAGCTTTAGCTGCTGAAGAATATTTCAAGAAGGGAGTGACAGCGTTTATTGGTCCAGGTTGTACTTCTTCTCTCGAATCAGTTTCCCGGCTTGCCTCCTACTGGAACATCCCCATCTTCTCTTCGACTGGTCTTCACTTTCAGGTTAAGAGCCTCAAAGTCTTTGATACATTCCTCAGGATTCTGACAAACAGCAAGACCTTGACGGAAATGATGCTAAAGGTTCTCGAGTTCTTTAAGTGGAGGCACGTGACGGCTGTAATTGATCTCGGTATCAGCATAGGAACATCCATCTCACGTGACTTCAGGCTAAGGTTACAAGAATTAAGATACAGTAATTTTAACTTGGAATTAGTGGAGTATGACGACCTAGTCAAAGAAGATTTCACCACAATATTGGCCAAAAGAAAAAAGCAAGCCAAGAGTAAGTCAGTGTAGAATTTTCTGTAATATAGTGCCATATGAGAAATATAAATATATATACATGTTTCTTGTTTGTTAGACTGTCTGTATCGAAACCATGTTTTTAACGTTGTAACGTTGTATCAAGAATGTTAGTCTGGGACCTTTTTCTATCAGAGTTGTATAAACAATAATAAGCTGGGACTCCGTTCTATCAGAGTTATATCAACAATGGTAAACTGGGAATCCTTTCTATCAGAGTTATATCAACAATGGTAAACTGGGACTCCGTTCTATCAGAGTTGTATCAACAATGGTAAACTGGGACTCCGTTCTATCAGAGTTGTATAACTCTGATAGATAGGAGTCCCAACTTAACATTGTTGATACAACTATGATAGAAAGAAGCCCCAGTTTACCATTGTTGATACAACTCTGATAGAACGGAGTCCCAGTTTACCATTGTTGGTATCAACAATGGTAAGCTGGGACTTCTTTCTATCAGAGTTATATCAACAATGTTAAGTTGGGACTCCTATCTATCAGAGTTGTATCAACAATGGTAAACTGGGGCTTCTTTCTATCATAGTTGTATCAACAATGTTAAGTTGGGACTCCTATCTATCAGAGTTGTATCAACAATGGTAAGCTGGGACTCCTTTCTGTCAGAGTTGTATCAACAATTGTAAACTGGGACTCCTTTCTATCAAAATTTTTTCAACAATGGTAAACTGGGACTCCTTTCTATCAGAGGTATATCGACAATGATAAGCTGGGACTCCTTTCTATCAGAGTTGTATCAACAATGGTAAACTGGAACTCCTTTCTATCAGAGTTGTATCAACAATGGTAAACAGCAAGTCTTCTAATAAAATAATCCTGTTTTAAACTTTCACATATTATACTCGATCAAATTAAAATTGTCAATTGGTCTTACGTAACCTGATAATTAAGCACTCGACACTCAATCTGTGGGTCAAGAGTTCGAATTCCGTTATCGAACATGCTCGCTCTTTCAACCGTGAGAACGTTGTATTGTGGTTGTAAATCCCAGTTTTGGTTAGTAATGAATACTCCAATAGTTAGCGATGAGTGGAATTGGTTAACTGCCTTCACTCTATCTATCGCTTCAGAAATAAGGTATTTCTAGGGCAAATAGCCCTCAAGTGGCTTTGCGGGAAATTCAAAAAATAAACAAAACGTGTAAATGGTCTCAATAACGATATTTCTTTTTAAGTCAACTTGTACAATTAAAACTAATTAATTGTTAATTAATAATACAAGTTATCTCATCTCCTATCAGTTTTCATCATTATAACTACTGCAAAGACTCTTCGAGAATTTCTTCTCTCCGCCTATGCTCTAGGAATGGAGAATGGAGACTTTGTCTTTATTGGTGTTGACTTATTTAATACCCAGTTATCGCTTGGAGAATTTTCTTGGTATATTCCTGGAGATTTCCGAAACAAGGTAAGTTTTATCTCTCATTTTTAGTTAATGACATAATTTGCTGTTTTTTTTAGGAGGGGGGTCAGTTTTTCCCGGTTTTTAGCTTTCGTATTAAAATACTAAATTTACGTTTATTCCATTGGGTACGCCCAACGTTTTAAATCAGATTATAAAAGAGTATAGTTTTTCTTTCTATCGTAGTTTTATCAACAATGTTAAGTTGGGACTCCTATCTATCAGAGTTGTATCAACAATGGTAAGCTGGGACTTCTTTCTATCAGAGTTATATCACCATTGATAAACTGGGACTTCGTTCTATCAAAGTTGTATCAACAATGGTAAACTGAGACTCCTTTCTATCAGAGTTTATATCAACAATGGTAAACTGGGACTCCTTTCTATCAGAGGGGGGTCAGTTTTTCCCGGTTTTTAGCTTTCGTATTAAAATACTAAATTTACGTTTATTCCATTGGGTACGCCCATCGTTTTAAATCAGATTATAAAAGAGTATAGTTTTTTCTCTGGTATTATATTCAGTGGTACTATGATTTCACCATATAGAGCTCTTTTAAAATGATACAACTGACTAGTTTCTCCGAAATTTACAAATGTTTCCGAATAATAAAGAATAAAGTACAATAGCACTACCTATAAAAAGTTTAACGATAAACAATACACCTCCTTGTTATTTTGAAGTTATAGTAGTCCACTCAAGATAAACTCCATGTTTTATGAAAAGTTGTTCCTTCTGTTGCGAATCCATTGTTTGCTTTGCCTATAAATTTTACTACCACTGACATTGTTGTATTTGTATTGTTATAATAAATATTTTGAATGTTGTAATTTAGATGTTGCTAGAGGGAGGTGCAGGTCGTAATGATGACGATAAGATCAGTCAAGAAAAGTCTAAGGATTTGACATCAACTTTTCTTAGAACTTTCTAATCCGATCTTAACGCAATCATTACGGTCTGCAGCTCCCTCTAGCTAATATCTAAATCTCAACTGAATTGTGCTGTACCTTCGCAAGAATGGAACCCCGAAATTTAGCGCTTTTGAACTTTCAAGGTAATCGCTGAGCCACGGGGAGGGCGCGACATTTTTTTTTTTCAGATTTCTAAATGTGAAATTCAATTGGCTTGTTTCTGTTGCATTATGCTTAGCCTGTTAAAATTTAGTTTCATATTCAACCCTTCTAATGATATTAGTAAATTTTAAAAAACTAAGTCATCATGGTACGTATAGCTATACTGTAAAAACAGTACGTTTATAATTTGATTATTTGCATGATAAAAAAAACAAGTGAATAGTACAAAATGATTTAACTCTTGGATTAAAAGTCCTACTTTATGATAAACTGTATAAAATTAATCTTTACTTGCTCCAGAAGAAGACCTGATCAGACAGTTAATTTTTTTCTGAGTAAAGAGGATATTTACTTTACGTTAGCTTACATTACAGAAATAGTTACTCGCTCCAAAAGAACCCCTGGTCAGGTAGCAAATGATTTTTTTATTTATTTAGTAACTATCGAGCTCCTTTTTTAAAATCAGGTAATTAATTATAACTGTGTGAAAATATACTTGAGCGCAAAGACTCGACATCTCATCAAATGGTTAAAACTAAGTCGTTAGGTGGAGTTACTATCATCGTTCAGCAATTTTACATTACCTGTAATACCTGTATTTTTGTTGTTGTTGTTTTTCATATCAACAGAAGGCGAAGAAGATTTATGAATCTTTATTGATCGTCAGCATTCAGGTTCCTACCAGTTCGGCCTATCAAAACTTTATCAGCGAGGTTACCCGGCAGTCAAAGCGTAAATTTAACATTTCCGTTCTTCCCGAAGAGGTAAGAGCACGTGGATCTCGGTAATAAAGTTTTAAGTGAGACGTGGAAACATTAAACATAATATTACATTCAAATATGACAATATTTGATATTTTCAACCTGAACAGCTCCTTATTGGACACACGAGTTAAACGGCCTCGTCAGAGTTAAGACATAGCCTGACCTTAATTTAGAATTACTCACCAGGGGCGAGATACCAGTTAGCAGCACTCGCCACCAACGTAAATTGACTGTAACTTTTATAATGCGTCCCCATTTATTGATCAAGTGTAATGTTCGAACCTTAGCCTTATAAATTCAAGAAATATCAACAGTTCTAGTATTATTTTTACCAACTCAAAAATGTTATACAGTACATGTGGAGAGACAGTTCTTTATTTAGGTCTAGTTAGGTTATATATGATCAAGTTAGGTTCGGTTTGATCAGGTCAGGTTAAGTGTCTTTAGGTTAAACTAGGTCTAGTTAGGTTATATCTGATCAAGTTAGGTTCGGTTTGATCAGGTCAGGTCAAGTATCTTTAGGTTAAATGAGGTCTAGTTAGGTTATATCTGATCAAGTTAAGTTCGGTTTGATCAGGTCAGCTTAAGTATCTTTAGGTTAAACTAGGTATAGTTACGTTATATCTGATCAAGTTAGGTTCGGTTTGATCAGGTCAGGTTAAGTGTCTTTAGGTTAAACTAGGTCTAGTTAGGTTATATCTGATCAAGTTAGGTTCGGTTTGATCAGGTCAGGTTAAGTGTCCTTAAGTTAAATTAGGTCTAGTTACGTTATATCTGATCAAGTTAGGTTCGGTTTGATCAGGTCAGGTTAAGTATCTTTAGGTTAAATCAGGTATAGTTAGGTTATATCTGATAGGTTCGGTTTGATCAAGTCAGGTTAAGTGTCTTTAGGTTGAAATAGGTCTAGTTAGTTTATATCTGATCAAGTTAGGCTCGGTTTGATCAGGTCAGGTTAAGTGTCTTTGGGTTAAGTTAGGTCTTGTTAGGTTATATCTGATCAAGTTAGGTTCGGTTTGATCAGGTCAGGTTAAGTGCCTTCAAGTTAAATTAGGTTATATCTGATCAAGCTAGGTTCGGTTTGGTCAGGTCAAGTCAAGTGTCTTTGGGTTAAATTAGGTCTAGTTAGGTTATATTTGATCAAGTTAGTTTTGGTTTGATCAGGTCAAGTCAAGTGTTTTTAGGTTAAATTAGGTCTAGTTAGGTTATATCTGATCAAGTTAAGTTCGGTTTCATCGTGTCAGGTTAAGTGTCTTTAGATTAAATTAGGTCTAGTTAGGTTATATCTGATCAAGTTAGGTTCGGTTTGATCAGGTCAGGTTAAGTGCCTTCAAGTTAAATTAGGTTATATCTGATCAAGCTAGGTTCGGTTTGGTCAGGTCAAGTCAAGTGTCTTTAGGTTAAATTAGGTCTAGTCAGGTTATATCTCATCAAGTTAGGTTCGGTTTGATCAAATCAGGTTAAGTGTCTTTGGGTTAAATTAGGTCTAGTTAGGTTATATCTGATCAAATTAGATTCAGTTAAGTTTGGATAGATGTGTTGATGATAGAAAAAAGTTTGTTTTCTATTTAGTAATCGTAATAAATATTGGCAATAAATTGCTTTTAAATACATATGCTGTTTGTGTCTACACGATTTGGGGTTATCTTATGGACAGTTTTCTTGAATACAACTTTTATTATTTTCACCTGGATTCCCAGTGCCTCGGCAGTAAGTTTGAAGGCTTACAACGCTAAAACCCGAGTTTCGATACCCATAGTGAGCACAGGACAGATACCCATTGTGTAGTTTTGTGCTTAACAACAAAGAAACAATCACAGCCTTTTCGTCTGCTATTGTATATTGTGTTGTTCATCTGATTGTGGAAGTTAAAGCTTCGAGTTTCGATGTATATATTACATTTTCACTGAAGAAAAAGAAAAATATGGTTGATTTATAAGACATTTGTAGAAACCAACGAAATGTTCTGTAGTTCTGTGTGTAGAAAATGTAGTACTTTCATGTTTGTATATATATATATATATATATTGAGTTAAGAAATATGTTTGAGATCCTTTTTTTGTCCTCCTGAGGGCACCACTTTCGTAATCTTAAGTTTTATTCTAACATTACATTTGTTAAAATTAAATTTAGAAGAGAATAAAAAGTTTGTTATAAATTTCGCGCAAAACTACACGAGGGATATCTGCGTTAGTCGTCCCTAATTTAGCAGTGTAAGACCAGAAGGAAGGCAGCTAGTCATCACCACCCACCGCCAACTCTTTGGCTACTCTTTTACCAACGAATAGTGGGATTGACCATCACATTAAACAACCCAACTGCTGAAAGGGTGAGCATGTTTGGTGGGACGAGGATTCGAACCCGCGACCCTCAGATTGCGAGTCGATCGCCCTAACCACCTGGCCAGAGAATAAAAACACCAAAAAAACGACATTGGAAAAATATTCCAAGGATACTTATAGATAACTTAAATTGTTATCAATCATTTATCTATCAAAAAAATAGTAAATACTTTAATTTTTAAAATTGCAACTTAAAAATAAATAATAGATAAAACAGAAATATTTCGGTCCTAAACTAAACTAAACATTGAATGGCGTGTTTTATTACTACGTATTTAGAAACGGCTATGTAGATTGACTATTTCTTGTTTTGCAGTATAAAGAGAAACAGTATTGAACTTACAAAAGATTGCTGGTGGGTCAGCTGTAATTTTACAATACGGGATTCGACTCCCTGCCGCTGTTTATCTTTGAATTCCTGCCGTTTTTTGTCTTTGGATTCCCTGCCGCTGTTTATCTTTGAATTCCTGCCGTTTTTTGTCTTTGGATTCCCTGCCGCTGTTTATCTTTCAATTCCTGCCGTTTTTTGTCTTTGGATTCATGCCTCTGTTTATCTTTGAATTCCTGCCGTTTTTTGTCTTTGGATTCATGCCTCTGTTTATCTTTGAATTCCTGCCGTTTTTTGTCTTTGGATTCCCTGCCGCTGTTTATCTTTCAATTCCTGCCGTTTTTTGTCTTTGGATTCATGCCTCTGTTTATCTTTGAATTCCTGCAATTTTTTGTCTTTGGATTCATGCCTCTGTTTATCTTTGAATTCCTGCAATTTTTTGTCTTTGGATTCATGCCACAGTTTATTTTTAAATTTATTCCATTTATTTGTCTTTGGGTTCATAGCACTGTTAATTTTTAGGTGATCGGGACATTGTTGCGTCTTTCGGTTTACTTTAATTTCAAAGTATTATCCATTTACTAAAATTACTTTAAAATATTGATATTGTAAATAAGAAACAAGAAAATACTACTTTAAAAGCTGTTTTCTTATTATTAACACGATACAAAGATTTAAAAGCTATGATTAATAAAAGTTATGAATTCGAAAAAGTGATTTTATAAATATGTTTATCCCACTGCAACGGTTGTTATACCAAATGTTCATGACATATGTAATATTTGAAATAAACAAAACGTCATTTTTTATTCTTATCAGATCAACGGGATCGTAGTTGGGTTCCACGATTGTATTTTAGTCTACGCTTGGGCTGTGAACAGGACACTGGCTGAGGGGGGTGACCCCCTTGATGGTTACAGACTGATCCGAAGTCTTAGAAACAAAACTCTGAACGGAGGTGATCGTGATTAATCGTTTTCTTGTAGTTTATAAAAGTAACTTAGATGTGGAGCTTGTTGGTTCACTCCCTCAATCTGTTCATAAGCAAGTTCTCTTTTATACGGACACTCTATTCGTCATTGGCCCCTGTTAAGATCTTAAACTCATTTGAACGGACTACTGCGTAACATTCATCTTGGGTATGTTCAAGTACCTTCGATCTAGTCGTGAATCTAAATTTTCCATGTTTTTAATGATATTAAGATCTTAGCAAGGCCCAGCGATGAAGAGTTTGGTTTGAATTTCGTGCAAAGCTACACTAGGGTTATCTGCTCCAGCCGTTCCTAATTTAGCAGTGTAAGACTAGACGGATGACAGCTACTCATCAACAACCACCGCCAACTCTTTTACCAGAGAAGAGTGGAATTGACCGTAACTTTATAATGCCAAAACGACTAAAAGGGCGAGAATGTTTAGTTGGACGGGGA